TCACCAGGCCTGATCCTCTGAAATGCTTTTCTTTTTTCTTTTCTTTTCTTTTTTTTTTTTCTTGCTTTCTTTCTTTTTTTTTTTTTTTTTTTTTTGTATTTTAGGGAAGGGTCTACAGGGTGTTCAGGGTCTCACTACTAGATCAGACTGGTAGTGATCCACTTGTTTATAGCCTCCCAAGAGCTACCCAGTCTCAATTACCGGCTCACCATGCCCTGGGGGCGGGGCCAGCCCAGCAGGCCTGGGGATCAACCCCCTGCCCCTGTGCCCGCTTGTAGGCACTTTAATCCACTGAGCTATTTGGCCGGCCCTTGAAATGCTTTTCTAGGCCAGTTCAAGCCTGAGTCCAGGATCAACCTAGATACTGGGTCTAGTGGAAGGGTTGAACAAAGGAGAAAGGCATGACCAAACCTCTGTTCTCCCTCCTGCTTTAAATCTTTCTTGGCTCATTAAAATAAATCTTAAAGAAATCCTGGCCACCACTTGTGGAATCTGGGAAGCATTGCTTTGGAGGTGAGATGGGGCAGGGAAAGGAAAGAAGGTTCCAGAGCTTAGCTTCCTGGAAGGAACTTGATGCTTAAGCCCAAACTGCAGGTATCAGTGGATTAGGGCGCCTGGCATTCCAAACTGCATGCAAACAAATTTGGTTAGAAGTTAAGGTGTCACAACAGGCATTTCCCACCAAGTGACATCCACTTCCAGAGAGCCCTTTGAGTACAGAGCTTGCTAGAGGTTACCACTGAATGAAAATCAGACTTGGGGAGCTTTAAGGTGGCCAGATAGTAGACCTCAGATCACAGATTCAATACAATGTTTGCCTTGCATATTATGTATCCTCAGCTATGAACACATAACTTCCTGTGGATACTGTGCAGTAGTGCATTGAAGGTACACGAAATATTCTGCCAATGCAGTTAAATAAGTAGGTGAATTTATTATGCATCAAAGCATGATATTGGGCATATATAAGAGGTCCATAAATTCCTTTTACAGAACTTGCTTGCTACCATAGAGTTGTGGCTGTATTACAGATAGAAGTAAGTATGAAAGGCCAAGTTATTATGGCATATCATTCTGCACAATAACTGTTAGGGAGGGAGAAAATAATTCTAGACCAGTAACCAAGAATCTGCCCAATGTCCTTGAGCTAGTTGCTGTGAAGGGAATGATCTAGTTATACCCCACACCTGGAGAATCATCCTCTAGGTAGACGGAAGGACCAACTTGGCCTTAATTCTCTTTATATACAAGCACAGACTTCCTGCACACAGTTGTCCTGTAGCCCCCAACACATAGAGGAGAAGTTCAGCCCTGCAAGGACCCAAGCTAGCGGATTTCTATGTGGATCAGGCACATTGCCCAGGACAACTAAAGCAGAGGAAGTGCTGGAAGCGAGCCCTTGGTGGCTTGTGCATGTGCTGGATTCAGTTGGTCAAGTTGAAGTTACACAGGGACCCCAGGTGATCTTTCTTCTGGTTCACTGGTGGGTTCTTTTCTGTAGGCCTGACCTGGACAGTGGGAAAGACCCACCTAAGGGTGACCTTCCTTCAGGAATGGGCTCTTGCTCTCTCAATCCAGCAGTTCAGTCCCTTCTTTTCTCCCTCAGGCCTGTGGATGGCTCTGTCCAGCCAGGATCCCATGAGATACTCCACAGTCCTGGGCAGCTACTCAGTGACCTGAAACAGCCTTGCTGGTCGCTAAAGGTGTGCCTCACAGCCACTCGCGGGACCTCAGTGCCCAGAGAACGGCGAGGGGGTCTGCGTGGGCCTGGTGGGTCGCTGTGCTTAGAGAAATGACTTTTGTCATTTGGGACCTGGTGCCCAAAGCAACTGGATAGGTAGAAGTATGTGGGGGGCGGGGTAAACGCGCCAAGCCCGCGTGGATGCCTGTAGGCACTGCCCCCTTTTTCGGAATTGGGTGCAAACTCAGGTCTTTGGACTGAGTTCGTTCCCAGCCCCTTGTAAACTTCCCACCCCCCACCTCCCGATGGTGTCCAGGCTTGGCTCAAACGTGCCTGTGCCTCGCAGAGTGCTGGGATTAGGGCCTGTGCCTCGCAGAGTGCTGGGATTAGGGCCTGCGCCTGCACGCCTGGCTCTGGGGACTGACGTTGAAATTCGGTCCAGATTTAGACCCGACAGCTCCCAGGGTTCCCAGCCCTCTGAAATGGGGCTGATCACAGATCCTCCGGGGTCTCTACCTACAGTCAGTTGGACCGGCCTCTGCGCCAGCCTAGCCCTGGCTCATTGATCGCTGGGCTAGAACATGTGGTTCTCCCCATGCAGCAGAGAGAAGCATAAACCACCTGCTCTAGTTCCTTGCTTCTTCGGCTAAACCCCGTGGGCCATGTGTGTGGTCCCAAGCCCCAGCTGGGGTCTCTCTGGCTGCAGCTAGCGGGAGCGAGCGCCGACGCGAGCCCGACCTTCCCAGGCGCGCTCCCCGCGGTGCGCGCTCCCCGCAGCCAGCGAGATTCAAATTGTTTTTGCTTCTGTCCTAGCTCCAGTCTTGTTCCTTATTCTGTCTGTTACCTGCTGAGCAGCGGGTTCCCGGCTGTACTCTACGTGCCCACCCCCCACCTGTGTTTTCTGTTTCTTAGGTGTAGAACTTTTTTTAGCACACATTTCCTCAATTGATACACTTTAGGGTGTAGCTGGCCCATAAAAAAAAGCAATCACGGCGTTCTGTGGAGTCAGCTGGCTACCCCAAGGGAACAAGGAGAAGCCAAGCCTTGATTTTCCTTCTGGTTTCTACTGGGTTAGAACTGTGAGCTGGGGCCAGGCCCCTGGGAGCTGGGGGGAAATTCCAGTCCAAGAGCCCCAGAAAGCCCCACCAGACAGGTCCCTGAGGGCAGCAGGGCATGATGTCCACCAGGCCACGCACCCAGCCCCTGGAAACACTTCCCTTCTTTTTAGGATTAATTGGACGCAGTCTTGCAGTGAAACCAAGTTTGTAACCCTGAATTTTTTTAAAAGGAAAAAGTGATTGGTGGATGGGGGTTGGGGACCTCATTGCAATAGCTCTTGTTCCAGGTGGAGGGTCCGCACCCAGCATGGCCTTTACAAAAAAGGACAAGGAAGAGAACTAAGAGGAAAAGGAGAAGAAAAACCTTTATGTGCTTATTTTGTTCATGAAAACAAGACATGGTCGCTATATTGAAAGGTGGTCACTCTTCTAATCCTTCAATTAGTTTTTTTTTTTAAATTGTTGTCTTACATGACTTTAATTTGTCAAGAAAATAAAAATTTTTCTTCAGCCCTCCGCAGTGAATGAGAACCATGCTCTCATGTATTTTGCAATTTCACAGCCACTGAAAAGCTCTCTGTTAAGGCAGTTTGAGCGCTGGTCAATCAATGTGAACAACTGGTCTCAAACTGTTCCTCTCAGCTTTTTTATCTGAATAAAAATTGCCAGGAAATGTTAAGACTGCAATTGATAGATTATGAGTCGTATCTTCTGGCTGTCTTAAGATAACAGAATGACAGCCAAATGTTGGCTATAATGAGGAACATATGTTGAAATATTCATTTGCTGCTTTTGAAATGTAAGAGAAATAAATGGGTGATACAGGCATGGGCTTATTATACAGAAAAGTGGATTTAAAATACAAAACCCGTCAATGAGATTAAATTACATGTATATTGTAGTAGCAGAATAATAACTAGTTGATAAATAGAGCAACTTCCTACTTACCAAGAGGTGTAAATCCATGCTTTAGAGATTCTTGTATATCCCCAGTATCGGAATTAGAAGACATTCTTAGTGAAATTATAGGCAGTCCTTTGGCATAAGGCAGAAATCATTGAGCATAAGAAAAAGTGCTGCTTGTCATATTTTGTGGCCTTGGGGAGCAAACACCCGCCTACAGTAACCTGTATTTCCTTAGTGAAAGTTGAGAAAAAGTTTTTAAAAAAAAAAAAAAAAATCCAGAATTCGGAAAGTTACGAGCAAGCCTCTCCCTGGACTCTGTACCTTTTCCAGCATCTGTGACCCGCTGTAAACCGGGGACCCAGTTTCATGATGGGTTCTAATCACAGGCACCAGAATTTGTGATTGGCTTGGGCGGGCCACGTGACTCTGCGCAGGTTGATAAGAGGTCCCTGTTATAAAGTGACAGCAGAGGAGATAAGAACTCTTGGCAGATAATGGCAAAGAAATGATTAACTCAGAAGAGGAGAGGCGCTATGCAGCACACAGAGTGGAAAGTTGTAAAACGGAGGGGGTCAGAAGATCATGCTGAGGGAATAAAACTCCAAACCAGTTCACATCCACTATCTACACTTCGGGTTGTGACATACCCCCTGATGTCATCACTTCCTTTGGGGAAGGCAGGCCGCTCCTGGACCCCTTGGACATTTTAGGTGGTCACATTGGCAGATGTTAATTCTTTAATTGATGACCACAATAGGACCTATACCGTGAAACACAAGTAGCATTTCTAAGCTTATGGCCATTTTTCTATTCATGTTTTAGTAGCTGTTTTTGTTCGTCTGTTTGTTTGTTTGTTTGTTTGTTTTCTTTTTTTCTTTTGGTAGCACTAGGGGTGGACCCCAGGGCCTTTGTCATGAGTTACATCTATAGCTCTTTTCATTTCTTTAAATTTTGAGATAGGGTCTCATTACATTGCCCAGATGGGACTCAAACTTTTGATCCTCCTGCCTTAGTTTCCCAAATTGCTGGAATTATAGGTATGTGCCATCACACCACACCTCAACTGACTTTTTATTTATTTTTAATTTAAAAAATTATTTTAAAGAGGAAAAACAGGGCTATGGAGATAGCTCAGCGGTCTAAGCACCTGCATAGGCAAGCGCAGGGACTGAGATTCGATCCCTAGTACTGCATGTAGTGCCAGCCCCACGCTGGGAGGGCTGAGTTTGCCACCCAGACCAGGTGTGGTGGCGCATCCCTGTAATGCCAGTGCTGGGGAGACTGAAACAGGAGGATCACTAAGAGTCCAAGCTGTGTAACAATGGTTGTTATATTACATATTGTTATCATCAAATGTGTTGCTCAGATTACCAGATATAGGCATATAGGCAAGCAAGATTGATCAAACAATTGTACATTAATTCTTCCTTTCAATAAACCTGAATTTTTCCTTGTCCTTTTTATTATTTTTTAAAATATTACTTTAAAGAGAGTATAAAAATAATGAATAAGAAATTAGAAACAATACACACTTTTTTAAAAAGACAGAAAAAAACAAAAACAAGAGGAAAGGTATTCAACAGTGATTGTTCTATTGCACATTGCTGTCTTCAGTGTAATTGTTCAGATTATAGATATTATCATATAAAATTGGTCAAATAAAAGTTTTAGACATTAACTGTTATCTTAAAAAAAAAACTGACAGAAAAAAAACTGATAGAAATTAGTAACAGAGGGCCGGGGAGATGGCTCAGTGGAATAAGTGCTTCCCTGGCAAGTGCAAGGGCCTTAGTTCAATCCCCGGTTCCACAAAAAAAAAAAAAAAA